GGATATGCTCCTTTTGTAACAGTAACAAAAGTGAAGATAAAAATCATTTCATACTAGATTGTAAGGCCTATTCCAAGATCAGAGACGTATTTTTCTCCAAATAGAATTTAGATTACCTAACTTCAACTCTTTCACATGATAATTTAGTAGCTCATCTTATGAATTCTTCTGATTATTTGATTAACTGTCAATTAGTTTTAATTATCTTGCAATGATTTGAATTAAGAAGCAAATGGTTCATATCAATGAATGAATGAGATCTGTAATGTTTTAAAACGTTTTACATTAATTGGTTGAATTAGTAATTAAATTTAGACTAGTAGGCTCCTGCTAGTAGCTTTTGCAAAGCCGTATTGTCATGTATGGTCCTGCAAATAAAGCTTTTGTTGCTGTGGCTGGCTTTAAGCCGACAATTTTGATAAGTGCATGTGTTGTCGTTTTAGTTTCGGGATATGGGAGAGTTAGTTACGGGTGATGGGGTTGGGGAGGCCAGTGGAAACCTTTCGCTTCATCTAAGGCTGTCCTTCGCCTTCGAGCCAAGGACCCGCATGTCCCGTAACTCATCTCTTGAGTCCCAGGCCTTTGTTATGCGAGCGTCCACTGGGAATAGATTACTATTCTCAGTGCTCGCTTGCGTAACACTGGCCTTAATTCTGACGAATTAGTAGCGAGAGATCTATTTCAGGAGTGTGTGTGCGTTTCTCCCTCGGGAGTGGCTTTCTCTATATAAATAAACACGTGTGTAAGCAAATTTGTCCAGTTTGGCTGCAAGGGCGGAAGGATTGGATTCATGCGCCCGTCGAAGCCCCTTGTGGGGTGGGGGGAGGGGGGGGTCTACACCCGTTTTGCTTTGGGGTTCGTTTGTTTAACCCTCCCTCCCCCCCGATTGGACGGACGGAATGAAAATCGTATGAAGAATTTCGGTATCTTCACTAATGCCGACCTATAAAGAGCAACAAATACTGGATAAAGTATGCAAAGTCACGCGACAGAAACAAATCAAATACTATGATTTCATTCCTTTTTTCGATTTTCAATATGAAAAAATTATTTTCAATTGTCAGCTCTCCCACTTTTCACCTTGCTCCGCGGTCCCTGATAATCCAGTTACATTCACACGAGACAGTGGTTGCCAAGCACGTGATGAGCATCTGTTTATAAGGGAAGGGTATCATATACTGAGTTTTTTTTTATCGTTGGGCACTGTACTGCAATGGGCTATTTCCAATCGTGAATTGATTAGAATAAACGTCCGCTTAACTTTCTAGAATCATCTTCGCTCGTAGAACAGTGAATGGCATCAGCGATTGATCTGAAAGTGAAGAAGTGGCTGACTAATTCTCACTTTGAATTACGAGAAGAATCTTAATTTTTTAAAAAAAATCTATCAAGTAATTCAAATTATTCACTAATTTGTTAAAGAAGACTGAATGTTTACAAAACAGCTAACAAGAGCGCCATGATACATACTAATGAATTCCTTCTTTTTAGCGATTGACCAGAATTATCTCTAAAATAATTCACACACATTTTTAAAAAGATTGAAGCTACTATGAGGTGAAATTGCATGTCAAAAGCGCTTCGTTTTCTACAGATAACGGCTAAAGATCAAGATTTTTCTTTTTTACTGTATTTCTAACGATAAAAAATTTATCCCAAAACATCCCGATAACGCTCTTACAGATTCCGTTTTAACTTCACGAACATCGAGGCGACTATTGGAGGAAAAAGCTCCCGAGAACGATTTCATAGTGAGAAATAATGCTGCAAGTATAAAAGGTAATGGCGTCATTTCGCTGCTATGACAACTCCGATGTCATTGCAACCCTGATCATGACAAATTTTCATCTTTATCTAATACAACTGTGGTGGCAATTTTTCCAAATGTTTGTTTATTGCGACGTAGTTTATGCTCAAACTTGGCAGGTATTGACCCTGAAAAACTGTTTCGAGGCACTTTCATATGCCAGTTCGGCCTATGTTGTTGCATCGTATGGCCCTCTTTTCTTTTCGAATGTTTTGTAAAAATTTGGGCAACTTTCAAGAATTTTTTGGGCAAATGATTTACCGCCCCCCTGGCCGATTGCCCGTACGCCTATGATGAGTCGTTCTTTAAACATTTGGCAACGTAGTAATTGGTTTTGATTTCCACTATTTCAAAGCTTCTTTTAAACTGATGGACGCTAATATTTGATATT